TGTGTCAATGCGGTGTTTAGAGATTTTTCATAATAACCCTCATATTTGTAATAAACAAGTTGAGAATCAAAAGACATGTGAAAGAGAAACCATAAATCAGAAACGACTGCTCTTAAAGTGAAACTGTTCTTGCTTTCGACTGTCTTTATCATTGTTAATCAAACAACTAAAGGACAAAACCACTCACAGCTCTTGACTGAAGGACTTTTGTAGCTATAGTTAAAGTTTTTTCTTACATTGAAGATGCTTAAAGCACAGTTTGTTTCATATTTTTATTCTATTGTATTAATTTTACTTTCCTTATTTACAGGGAGGAAAACAACTATATATACAGTTGAGGTCAGAGTTATTAGCCCTCATGAATTATTAGCCCCCAATTTCTGTTCAATGGAAAGAAGTTTCAGCACATTTCTAAACATAATAGATTTAATAACTCATTTCTAATAACTGATAACTTCTTTTATCTTTGCCATGAGGACAGTGCATCATATTTGACTAGATATTCTTCAAGATACTAGTATATAGCCTAAAGTGATGTTTAAAGGCTTAACTAGGTTAATTAGGCAAATCAGGGTAATTAGGCAAGTCATTGTAAAACAATCTACAGAAAATCCTTTAAAAAATATTTAAACCTGCTTTTATTTTAGCCAAAATAAAACAAATAAGCCTTTCTCTAGGTGAAAAAATATTATAGGAAATACTGCAAAAAAAATCCTTTGGCAAATATTTATTTTAAAAAAATTCAAAGGAGGGCCAATCATTTTGACTTCAAGTGTATCTCGTTTTGAATCATTTTGATTACAATTTATGACCAAAATAATCATGATTGTGATTTATTTCTATAATCAAGCAGCCCTAATTGCCATGCACATCTGTGGGCCTGTGGGCAATCTCGTGAAAACTCCATATATCCACAAATGAACCCAGGAAATCCCCATAACATTGCGTTTTAAACCAAATATTTAATTGCTTTTGTTGATTTAGCATGATTAATAAAACTGTGGAATCATTTCACATTTCATGTGTCTAGCATGTATCTTGATTTTTTTTTTAATCCGATTCATCAATTATTTGAAAAAAAAAATCAACAGATTAATCGATTATTAAAATAAGCGTTATTTGCACGCCTAGGTGTTTGTTGAGGGTAGTTTTTGTAAACTTAAGACATGCATTGTCTTAAATGGAAACTCTGTTATCAGTAGGCCCACACAGAATCTGCACACACAGAAATCTGCAGATTCTTAGCCTATTGTTAAGTCTTTTTATTTACCTCTGTAAATGTGTGTGAATTTTCTGTCTTTTATTAGATATATTATATGATAGACTTGCTTTGTTTACCAAATAATTGGCTATTGAAAATATATTAAACAAACTCGATTAATGTAACCATTTAGCAGAAAACAGCATGTTTTACTATAGCTTTTAGACTTAGGGTGCCACCATCTTGGAATGTCACTGTGTCTGATGTCACAAGGTTGGTTTAGTTCCCTCAGCTGAAAAGTGGAAGGACTGAACACGGAGACTGTAAAGCCTAATTTAGCCAATGTGTGAAGGTGTGAAAGTGGAGCTAGTGCAAATACAAGCATCAGATGTGGGTCTAACATTAAAATGTATATATTTATTCTATTTTTTTCTTTTTCCCCTTTTAATTATTGATCATTTGATGCACGTTGGTGCACTCTCTGTATTACACTGTCTGACTGCCTTTATGGGTGCTGTTTTCTGCTAAATGGTTACATTAATCGAGTTTTTTATATAAATTTTATTTAGAAATCAATTTACAAAATAATGTCAACTTGACTGAGTGCTTCATTTCCCTTTTAAGTTGTATTACACTTGTCTTGTGTTAATGTTAGGTTAATATGCATGCATTAATTATTATAAATACACACACACACACACACACACACACACACACACACACACACACACACACACACACACACACACACACACACACACACACACACACACACACACACATATATATTTCAGACAAAAACATAAATAAAGAATTAAAAAGCAAAGACTCAAATAGGATCAAAGAAAAGAGTGCATCCTTGAGTGCAAAAGAGTGCATATTTTCTATTTGCATGAAAACAATGAAAAACAGCCAATCAAAGTATTATTTGCAATGTAATTTTGTATATTATTTGTGTTTTTTTTGTTAGTAATGATTTAGTAATTCACTTGTGGAGTATTTCAAACTTTTAATAGTGTGTTATTTTGTGTCAGAAATTTCAGCCAAATAAGTTTTCACATTCATAAGCCACAGTTTCTGAGTGAAATTCTTGTTGAAATGTAGAATGTAACGGAAGCCTATTGAAGCGTGTTCATGTGCCCAGGTGACGTCCCCAGAGGGAATGGCCATATAAAGGTCAGCTTATGTAGGAGGTTGGAGCTACACTGAGGACACCTGGGCTTTGTCACTGGCATGCTTGCTGACCTTTGCACTCAGTTTGTGTGCTTTTGAATGCATTAAAGTAGATGTTTTTGGAATAGACCAGTAAAAACATTTAGGGTGGCATTTGCTTTTAGGTTGCAAAAAACTCACTTGGATTTTATTCTCTTAGCTGCTAGTTTAGCTTTGACATTACAAGAAAATTCAGCATAACATCTATGCCGCATCTGTATGATGTTTTAGTATTTAATTAGGCTTTATAATTCACACATATGCTAAGTGATTATTTACTTAAGTGAGTAAAGCTATTGCCTCAACGCGATAAGTTGACTTAACTTTTAAAAAGTGAGTATACTGTACTTGGAACTGCTAAGTTGATTTAACTTATTTTATACAGTATTTATGCACATAGTTCATTTACTTAATGCAACAGGTTTACTAATTTTTTTAAGTAAAGTCAACTAATTGTTTTGAAAGGAACAGGTTTACTTAATTATTTTAAGTGAAGTCAACTAATAATTTTATTACAGTGTAGTTTGCCATTTTGTATTTTTATAATCTGCTAGCTGAATAGTATTGACTGGAAGAGTTACACAATTGCTAATCCTAAATTATACAGTGTGTCTGAGGGGTCTTTAAGTCTTAAAATGCCTTAAATTTAAAAAATTTAATTTTAGGGCTTAGGCCTTAAATCATTTTAAACTGGTGTAAATGGGTCTTAATTTTCCTATATGTCCATTTAAAGCCATAACCAACTGGGCCAACACCCTTCCAATCACTAACAATATATCTCAATAAAAGTTTTAAGAAGCGTTTATTTATTAACTCTATTTATATGTTAATATGTTTTAATTATCTTCCTTACACTAACATTTGTTTATGATGTTTTTTTAAGGTTTTAACCCATTTAGCCTCGTGTAAGTCTGAAATTTCATTCATTATGGTCTTTAAATGGGTTTAAAATGGTCTTAAAAAGTCTTAAATTTGACTTGATGAAACCTGAAATCATCCACAAATAACATTTTCTTTCTGTATTTGTTTTAAATGCAGAGGCAGTGGACAGGTGATGTACCCTGTAAAACCATGTTTTTGTAACTTGAAAGGAATAGTTCACTTAAAAATGAATCTTCACTCATTATTTACTCACCCTCAATTGGTTCCATTTGAGTTTCTTTCTTCTGTTGAACACAAATGAAGATTTTTAAAGAAAACTTGTAACCATTGACTTTTGCCGCAGGAAAAACAAATACTATTGAAGTCAATGATTACAAGTTTTCAATATTTTCCTAAAACCTTTTCTTATGTTCAACATTGTTTACTGCAGCTCTAGAACATCAGTTGTCAACTGTGGTCCTCATGACCCTCTGCTCTGCATATTGTTTCTGTGTAACTTAATTTAGAGGTGTCAAAGGGGACATCACATGATATTCTGCCATGATTCCAGTTTGAAAAAAGCATGTTCATTTCAAAAGGTATTAAACTAAATGACGTGACTGAAAATTTTCTGGTTATGGTTAAACCCTGCACACTTCAAGACAGGTCATCTGTTGTTAGTTCATAATCATTTACATTATATTACCTCTCTTGTTTTTGTCACATTTTGTATGGAATGTGGAATTGCTATTGAGTTTTGAATTTATTTAAAATGTTATAAATATTAATAAAATAATTCTGCTGTAGTCACATGCAGGATTTTTTAAATAGTATGTTGCAAATCCACATGAACACAGTAAGTGCATTGAGTTATAAAGGTACAATATAAAAGGTTATTTTAATTTTACAAATGTATGTCTTATATTTTCCTTTTAATAATTTCCCCTTTTTTTCTTTTTATTAACCTTTGAGCGTAAATACCCACATATTCCTGTGAGGTGCATTAAAGGTCAGAGTTATTTCTCTGTGACCTTTGCGTGACTGTAGATCTGTGAATGAACATGAGAGGAGTGCAGTCTCTGTGGATCTGTGGAAACCCTGATGGTTGTGACCTGTGGACAGTCCTAATGCTGCGCTTCAAAGCATTTCCACATGGATGATCTCACACACAAATCGCTCTATTCACCTGAAAAGAGCACAACAGTTTTCAAAAAATAAGAAAATCAGAGAAAGGTGAAGCTATTTAAAGCTTCATTTTGAGGGAAAATAAATATCTCATAAAAAGATTAGGCCTATTTCGATGGCAAATGCAGGCCTTCTGAATCTGGATCAACAATGTTTCTGTTTATTTATTTTCGGGTTTTTTTTTAGCACAATGTCAAGTACAATACTATGCAAATTGCACCTTGTTTGAGTCCATCATCTCTGTGCCAAATTGATGTTGCTTATTGGCTGAAATGCTGCAAAAGAGCCTATAAGGAAATGGGTATTTTTAGGCACAATGTAGGCTATACATAAAAATTTATTTTTTAAAAAGTTGGATTGCAAATCAGCCTACTTTAATCTGTTGAACCAGTTTAAACAGTTCTATTAAAATTGCTGCAACTAAAAATTCAAAATGAATATGACTTATGTCATGAAGTTAAATAGTAGGATGATGTGACACAAATATTGTTATACTGGAATCCAGCAAGCATAAGCTGTTTTGACCTTGTGTTACAGACCCTGTGTGGACCGTAATGACCGCACGCTTCCGGTTGCCTGCTGGCAGATCCTACAATGTCCGGACGACGGAGCTGGCACGCGACAGACAGCGCACCGAGGTGGTCTGCAACATTCTTCTTTTGGACAACACTGTCCAGCCTTTTAAAGTCAATGTAAGTAAAAGTTCTGTGAATTAATCGGCTTTCTAATGATCAGATGATGTATGAGTAATGTATTATATACAGACTATCATTTCTACAATTGTTTTTTTTTTTTTGAAGAAGAAGAAGAAATGTGTGGTGCTTAGGGTTGTAACAATATACCGGTATGACGGTTTACCACGATTTGAACGTGCACGATTATCATACCATGAACAATTGCATATCAACGGTTTTAACCCTTAAAGACAGAGACAGCCGCCCGCGGCTAAAAATAAGTATTGCTCTTAAATGTTTAATAACTTTTGATCCGCTGATCCGATTCACACAATTCAAAGATTTACATAAAGAAGAGAATCTCAGCTTTCCAGTGCTGTATCACATAACATTCGCGGACTTTCAGAGGCTCCGGAATCAGTGCGGTTACGTCATCAACATTTGACAACGCTGATTTGACAAAGAAACGCTCGTCACTGTGTCTCCGGACAAATCAGACATGATACATTGATGCATTGTCCCTCCTCCATGCCCAGATTGGTTCAAACTCGCTATATCACAACCAATAAGCATAGGTTTCGCTTTTGTTTGTGGACCAAGCTTTTTGAACAACACGGAATGAGAGAAAGGCATACATTTATGCGCGGCTAAATAAAACGCAAAAAAAAAAAGTTTTTCATGAAATAATTCTCATACTAAGTACTTTTGCATGCACAGCAGCACAGAAACATGACTAAACAGTGACACAGCAAAGACGAACTGCTGCTCTTGCTGTTTTCAAAAGACGCAAATAAAGATGCAGCTGTTTGTCTGCATTGCAGACAACCATATCCATATCCATATCGATAGACAACCATATCCATGCTGGCACATAAAACCTAAGGATGTTCCATATTGAATCTAGTTTCGTTATGTAACTATTTATAGTATAGTAAATATTTATATCTATTTTTTACTGAGGATTTGCACCATGTTTATTTGGACTTTTTTTGGACTTTGACACATTATTTATTATTTTCTTATTTTTATTTGTTCATTGTAAGTGGTGTTGTTTATAGTAACTAAAAATATATTATTTGGAAAAAGTCAAATTTGCTTCACTGTTCTATTATTTTGTAACATTTGTAACATACCGTATACCGCGAAACCGTCAAACCGTGGTATTGTTTTAGACGATTATCATACCGTGAAAAATTCATACCGTTACAACCCTAGTGGTGCTGTGATTTTAAGGAAATTAGTGTTGGGCGATATAAGAAGTTTTCAGATTGCAATATCATCCCTCTGAGATTGCGATACACATTACTATCGCTGGGGGTGCGGTAGTGATATGTTTACTTATTTGCTCATTTGTTTAACCATTTCTAAACGTATTTATGTTTTGGACAATTTAAAATAATAATACTATTTATTTAATTCAGTAATGTAATTAAAAGATGTAATCGGTCTACGTTAATGCGAAATTAGCTAAACATCCTCTTTAAAATTGTCATTGGTCACAGGTCTCTGCGATATCTTTGCCTATCGTCGATACATGATACTATCTTCTATCGGCAAAAACCCTATCAATAATTTTTATTTAGCAAGTGTACACTAAATTGGTCTGTATGGTTGGCAAATCATTTTATATTGTTAAAATAGTTACATTTTTAAAAAATGCTGCAAATTTTGAACTTTGAGGATCATGTGATACTAAAAACGTTATTAATGACTGGCAAAATGTCAGCTTTGCCATAATAGAATCATGTATATATATATATCTCGGGCTTCCTGAGTTCGAATCCCTGCTCGATGACATTTCCCAACCCCCCCTCTCTCCAACTTCACTTTCTGACTCATTAATGTCCTGTCTAATAAAGGCAAAAAAGGGCAAAATAAATAAATAAAAAAATTCAAAATTATTTTTCAACTTTCAAGACTTAATGTCAACAAACTTTTAAATAGTTTTAACTGTTAATTATATGATGTTTTCATATTCATGCATTTAATAATGTGAATTAAGCATGAATTCCCAATAATAATAAAGATTTTAATTAGATTTTGTTTAAGATGTTAAATATCTTTTCAATATGAACTCGAACTTTTATTTTCTTCAAATCTGTCACCTGTGTGAGTTTTTCCCCACTTGTAGTGGTCTGCATCTTTTACACAGTGCTCATGTTCCAGTTAGTGTATAGCAGTGTAATTCTGCTTATAAAAGGAAGAATTCTTGACATTCCAGGAGGCTAAAAACTGGCCCTGGGGCACCAGAGAATCATGTACACACTTGCACCTGCAATATGCGCTGCTACGACACACCCCACACACGCGACACGCAAAAGCACAAATCCCCAGATCTTTCATTTGGTCATCCGATTGCAAAACCCATGTGTTTGTTCTTGTACTCAGTGTTGTGCAAAGTGTTGTGTAAAAGTGTCCTTACGGAGAACTCTTGTGTCCTGACTTGAAGTAAATGCTAATATTAGATTTAAAGGTTTCTCAAGTTGTAGAAGGTTGTTCCAGTTTCCCCCACTAGTTACTAACTTTTCCACTAGTTACATTGTCCAAAGATTTCCTGTGCACGCAGGAAGCATTTCCGTATTTGAATTGGAGGGAGCAATAAACCCATAAACATCACATGACTCGCTTTAAACAACCGCTGATCTGTTAGATGAATCAAGACGTCCTTTCTTAGAAGTTGTCTGTCATGCTGCTCTTTGATTTGTAACTAACATTTCCAGGAAAGTCAGTCCTCATGTAATGGCTCCATTGATCAAATTTACTCGCCTGCTCTTTGGTCCCATGCATTTTGGTGCCAGACCTCTCAGTGACCTAGATAGTCTGGCAGCACAGCGGGCCCTTGATGAGTATGGGGCGCATATGGAACGGAAGCGCAAGGTCTAATGGAAGGAGAGCTGAAGGACCAGAGGCGAATAATCAGGAGGGGGCGAGGTGTTGAAAACAGGAAGGCTGTTATTTGCGTTACAGGAGTTGATGTTGTTGATGTTACAGAGGGGCCATCATAAACAAGCCTCATCTGTGAGTTTGAGGAGTTGCATGTTACGTCTGGAATGTGGAGGAGATGCCGGAAGTTTGTAAAAATTAGATGTAGCTTCTCCTTTTGTGTGCATGTTTGGTTTCTAATAGGTTTTGATCTTGATTTTTCTTATAGCTGGTGTTTGTAAATTTGAAGTCATGCGTTTTGTCTTTTGCATATATAACCCTTTTAAGTGGCCTAAAGGTAGATTTATGCTTCTGCATCGCTTGCACGCAGATGGTCCAGCACAACCTTTGCACAGTCGCGTACCTTTCACCACCAAATGCTTCTCATACGAGTGAACTTCAAGGGAGAATGACGCTAGCTTCAGCTTTCTGTTGTACACCACGCATTGGTACCATTTAGTAGTGGAGACAAAAGCCAGATAAAGGTGGCCCATAACGAACTGTACCATACCGTACTGTACCACTCAGTGGAAACGAGTGGAATTTTCTGTATAAACAAAATGCCCGTAAAGAAACTCAACAGAAGAACATAAAAACCCCACTGCCAGCTAGCATTTGGAAAGTGTTACTGCAGACAGAGTAACACTAACAGAATACAGAAGTATAAATGCACGGCTATGCGCTTGGGATGTACCATGGGTTATGGCTCTCACTAGATGCAGAAGTATAATTCAGCCTTTAGTATTAGCTTAGAAGTTCCAGAATTAGAGCTGTTTTTGTTTAAGATTACAAAACTCACTTGCTTTTTTGTCTTCAAAACAGCATGCACTAATGAGTCTTACACAATAACCACAGGAACGTGTGTTAAGAAAGAAAATACGATTATGATTTCATGCTGCTACAATTGTGGCTTAAGTGTCCAAATACTTTGTAGGCCTCCTGTGCAGTGCTAGTCTTTTAATGTCAAAACACAGACGTCATAACTACACTGTTTGCACGTATGTTTGGTTGCTGTGTGTAGATCTCTGACTGCATGCAAAACACTCACAGCTCAAATCACTGAGCAAGCTGCCACATGTCTACTCGCATTTCTGTCATGCCATTTTCCTTCAAAATTCACCTTATCTACCCACATCACCCACACCACTCTGCTTTTTAAATGCTTGTTATTGGACTTCTTGTGAATAGTTGATCGATTTATTATATATGGGTCTTCAGGGTTTGTTTACATCTGATCACTTCATGTGTGTTTTCTTTTATCATTATACGGTCATGAAAAGGACAGGCGTAAATGCACTACGAAAACACAATCAAGATTGATTATTCTGATCGCTTAGGGTTGTAACGGTATGAATTTTTCACGGTATGATAATCGTCTAAAACAATACCACGGTTTGACGGTTTCGCGGTATACGGTATGTTACAAAATAATAGAACAGTGAAGCAAATTTGACTTTTTCCAAATAATATATTTTTAGTTACTATAAACAACACCACTTACAATGAACAAATAAAAATAAGAAAATAATAAATAATGTGTCAAAGTCCAAATAAAGTCCAAATAAACATGGTGCAAATCCTCAGTAAAAAATAGATATATTTACTATACTATAAATAGTTACATAACGAAACTAGATTCAATATGGAACATCCCTAGATTTTATGTGCCAGCAAGGATATGGTTGTCTATGGATATGGATATGGTTGTCTGCAATGCAGACAAACAGCTGCATCTTCATTTGCGTCTTTTAAAAACAGCAAGAGCAGCAGTTCGTCTTTGCTGTGTCACTGTTTTGTCATGTTTCTGTGCTGCTGTGCATGCAAAAGTACTTAGTATGAGAATAATTTCATGCAAAACTTTTTTTTTGCGTTTTATTTAGCCGCGCATAAATGTATGCCTTTCTCTCATTCCGTGTTGTTCAAAAAGCTTGGTCCACAAACAAAAGCGAAACCTATGCTTATTGGTTGTGATATAGCGAGTTTGAACCAATCTGGGCATGGAGGAGGGACAATGCATCAATGTATCATGTCTGATTTGTCCAGAGACACAGTGACGAGCGTTTCTTTGTCAAATCAGCGTTGTCAAATGTTGATGA